AAGCCATCTGTACAGTATTTATGTTTAGGACTAGGTAGCGACTTAGTACAAATATCCGCAATCATCGTCGTTGTCGGCATATATATTAGTTTGATATTACCATCGTCGATTATTTCTCTTACAAAATGATAACGAGTATCTATATGTTTTGTACGTCGATGATAAATCGGATTACACGCAATTTTTTGAGCAGATTGATTATTGTTATACAGATCTACGCAATTATTATTATCATATAATGTGACAAAACTATTTTGTCCTAACACCTCATTGAGGAACGCCCTCAAGTGCACTGATTCTTTAGCTGCTTCGCTGAGTGCCATATACTCTGCTTCCGTAGAGGATAAAGCAACACTAGTTTGCTTATGACATTCCCAGGATACAGCCGCATTTGCATAAGTAAAAGCATAACCCGTAAACGACTTTCTGTCAGTAGGATCATTGGCCCAATCAGCATCCACATATCCGACTAGCTTACAATTCTCAACTTTTGAATATACTAAACCAAGATCCATCGTACCTTTAAGATAACGAAGTATTCGCTTGGCTGCTGACCAATGTTCCTGAGTATGACTTATATTGAACTGACTTAAATAAGATATCGCAAAGCTAATATCTGGCCTAGTTGTTACACTTAAATACATCAAAGTGCCTATAAGCTGTTGATAGGGTAATTTTTCTTCATTAGTTTCACCCTTTGCAGAAGACAGTTTAACATTAGGTTCTAGAGGAGTTCGTACAGGATTACATTCCAACATCCCGAATCTCGTTAAAACAGAAATCAGATATTGCTTTTGACTTATTTTTATCCCATGTTTATCTCTATCTCGTTCAATTTTCATGCCTAATGCATGAGTAATTGGACCCAAGTCTTTAATTTTGAAATTATTTTCTAGAGACGTTTTCAGTATCTTTACTTCATTAAAATCATTGTAGAATACAAAGAAATCATCTACATAGAGTGCTATAATAACTATAGAATTGTTATTTTTTCTTTTAATGAATACGCACGGTTCATGTTTACACTGTTTATATCCTAATTTGATAAGTATATTTTTGGCTTTACTATTCCAGGCACGGGAGGATTGCTTTAGTCCATAGATAGCTTTCTTTAAAAGATAAACCTTGTCTTCCTCTCCAGGTTTAATAAAACCTTCAGGTTGTGACATGTAGATTTTTTCTTTTAAGTCACCATGCAAGAAAGCTGTTTGAACGTCTAAATGATCTATCTCTAAATTCATTTGAGCAGCAAGAGCAATCAATATTCTAACAGAACTATGTTTAACCACAGGGGAAAAAGTTTCTGTAAAGTCAATCCCGTATTTCTGTGTGAATCCTTTGGCCACTAATCTAGCTCTATAACGTACAA